CTGCTGCCCTACAAAATTGACAACTGGTAGACAGTTTTCAAGACGGTACTTTCTTCATAGTAAACAGATGCACCCATAAACCAATTTTGACAGGAAACGAAAGCATGGTTTAGAAGCTATTTTTTTAAATCACTTTTGACCAAAAAAGCACATTTTTGTGCATATTTCAAATTACAGTGTCCATAAAAAAAATAATAACAAAATTTTAAAATTCTACAATAAGCTTTCCGAAAATATATAGTTTTGTGGACAAGGGAGGCATCTTGGTTTCCTAATTAACTAATTAAAATACCTGTCAGGTAAACTGCATCTCATACCTTAAATCATCGAAATATGCAATTTATTTGCATATTAAGGGGGTTTCGTGGTGTACAATTTTTACGCTATGACAAACCCAATGCTACAAAATATTAGTTTTACGTCTTCTTTAAAAACGAGAGACCTCTTATTTAGGTCGCGTGAGCTGCTCCCTCCGCGGTGCTCCAACCCAATGATGCCGTTCGGCCGGCGAGGGCTACTCACGCCTACATGTCAGGCTAGGCTGATTATTTATATGTACATATTTTGTATGACTGCTGATGTTAAATATATACACCATAACTTATGAAGAATTAGATTACAAAATATTAGTTTTACAATTCTATAAAAACGAGAGACCTCTTATTCAGGTCGTGAGCTGCGCCCTCCGCGGTGCTCAACCCAATGATGTCGTTCGGTCGGCGAGGGCCTACTCACGTCTACATGTCAGGCTAGGCTGCGCGGTACATATCCTTTGTCCTGATTGGAAGTTCAAATGAGTCAGTGACTTTGAAGGCAGATATTTTTCCTTGTAGTCATATTCAAAAATAAGTAAACATAAATTTCGACCTTGACCTTTGAAAAAAATTGTAATCAAGCCACCGGTCGAACAGGAAATTTGTATGCCATGTTTGATGTTTCTAGTCATTATTTACTAGCAGTTAAGCTTAAATAAACATATACTGTGACAACCTTTAACCTCAAAATATGCACAGGTTTTTTGAGTCACACAGAACATTGTGTGTCAATTTTGCAGGCACTAGCTCCCCCGTTTATATAAAATTAACGTTTGATTGAATTAATTAATTAAAGATCAATAATTTCTGTGGTTGTTACCTGACATAGAAATCTCCGACGTTTTGCGTAGTGATGCGTGTATTAACCACGTTTATCAAGAGAGCCAGATTAAAGCGCGGTGGTCGTCGCGCAGCGCGTGTTCGAATTTCATGT